TCTCATTCCCCAAAGGAGTCCCCGAACCAGAAGCCCTCCCTGCCCGTTTCTCCCCCAGCCCAGACCCCGGTGACCCCTAAGCTGCTTTCTCTCTCTGTTCCTTTACCTATTCCTGATGTTTCTGTAAGTGGAATCACACAATAGGGGCCTTTATGTCTGCCCCTCTATTTTCAAAGGGGACTCGTTTTCTTCTGTGTTTATTTGTCATAAAATTTCCCTTATTTCATATTGAAATCCCCGACGGATGACACATCAGATGGAATTATAGAGGCCACTTTAGGAATTATGAGCACAATCTCGGGGCCGAGACCGCTGGTCCTGCTGGGACACCACAGCCTGACCCCAGACAGGACAGGGCTGGTTCCTCCTGAGACCCACACAGAAACCAGGGAAATGCAGAAAGCTGGAAGACACACCACAAAGGGCAAAAGCATTGCTCACAACCCAAGGCCAAAGAAAGGGTTCACCTGACTGTTGTCCAAACCACGCTCCAAGTCACTGGGTTCCACAGGGACGGAGACCAAACACATGCAAGTCCAAGGCGGAAGGATAGGCACGCAGGGAATATGTGTCAGAGATGCGGGAGCTCCTAGGGAAGGACTCCGGCAAAGGAAACCCTATGGAGGCAGCGCTGGTCACCCTTAGACTGGCAGGTGTCTGGTCTGGGGACCAGCAGCCCTGGGGAGAACATGAGGAAGTAGAGGTCCCCTGGAGAGAAGGGTGACAGGCACCCCTGTCTAGAAGAACAGTGAGCAGCACCCATCCCAGGCCACAGGTGCACCCATCCTCAGCCTCGGACTCAGCCCCGGAAACTCTGGCTCGGTTTTTCACACACCTATTGTCAGGAGTGTTCATCACAGCGGTGCTGGAGAGAGCAGGGAATGGAACAACACTAATGCCCAAGGAGATGGATGGGATCCCCTGTCCCAGTTCTCATGATAGAATGCCCTGCAGCCACTGTCCCGGTGTCATCCGGGGCACAGGATCCGGGAAGCCCCTCCTAAGACCCAACCATCCTGCCACCCTGCCCCTGGGAACATTGAGAATTGTTTGAGGAGGAGGGGGAGAGGATCCAGGATGACAGCGGGTGCAAGGAGAAGGAAGGTCAGCACTGGGAGGACAGATGGACATGCCCTGAGCCACCCTCCAGGGCCCGGGCTGTGATGCCCTTGGACCTTACCCCAAATAATGGCTCCTGAGGTATGGATCCAGCTTCTGTGGTTTTACTCCCTCCCTCATTCATTCTCTCCCTCATTCATTCCCCACCTCCAACCCTCCCCTCCCTCCCCCTCCCTCCCTCCCTCCTTCCTCCCTCATTCAGCAGAGGATCTGGGGTCCCTGCTGTGTACTGAGCACTGGGGCTTCATCAGTGAGCACCCCCCAAACCACATGGTCACATCCACTGTGGGAGGTGACGGGGGCAGTCCTCAGGGCTAGCACTGGTGATGAGCACCAGGAATCTGCTCCTGAAAACACAGGCCAGTTACACAAAGAATGGAGAGACCCATGCTTAGCACTTCCTCTAGAAAAATCTAGTCCTGAAAAGTGATGAAAAGTAAGTGTATCCTAGACTTCATGCGATGTGAGTTCTAATGGCAGGTACCTACTGATTCCTAGAACCAACAAAGAGTAAATCATCCAGTGTCAACTGGGGTCTTGTGACCCAGCTTTTCTGACCAAATGACACGTTTCAGCCAACATCTCCAGGGCCTCCGAGTTTTCCCAAGGGTCTCTGCGATTCTCTGATCCTTCCATCAACCTCCTTGGGAAGCTCTGTCCTGTCGTCTTCCTTGTCTCCTGCCTCTTCTGGGACCCTTCCGTGGCCTCCCCGCCAGGGCCACCCCCACCAGGACTCCCTGTGCCCCCTGGCCTCACGCCCACATCCCACGCTGGGTCCCGTGAGCCCGGTGCTTTTTGCAAGGACTGTGTGCTCCCTCTGGGGTCACTTGGCATCTCCCTTGCAGTGGCCTGCATCTTCCTGCGCTGGGTCTCCTCTGAGCAGTCTGTGAGGCCGGACTGTGTCCATGTCATGGGCACGGAAGCGAGAGTCCAGAAGGTCCAGATGACCTGCTCCCAGTCCCAGCGTGTGGAGCCTGGGTCAAGGATGGTCCGCGAGCAGAGGAAGACTTGGGCCCAGGGAGACTGAGGGAGGATGTCGCACAGTGAGCCTGCAGGAGGAGAGTGAGCACTATGTGGGCCTGGTGCTCAGACCTGCTGGGAGACCGCATCTCACCCACAGCAGCTCTGTCCCCAGGGCTGGAGGGTGTCAGGGTAGCCACCCTCCGAGGCTGTAGGCTGACAGTGACTGGCAGGAGAGGAGGTGCACCTGATGCAGGAGAGAACCCTCAGGCAGAGAGGAGGGGGCAGGTGCTCCCCCAGCAGCTGGAGGAACTCGGAGTAGCCACCCTCCCAGGCTGCAGGATGGCAGTGGCCGGCAGGGGAGGAGGCACCTGGTGCAGGAGAGAGCCCTCAGGCAGAGAGGAGGGGGCAGGCTCTCCCCCAGCAGCAGGTGCACTGGGGCAGGCTGAGGGGGCCTCCATGGACAGCAGTGCCTGCAGCTGGGGTCTCCACACAGACCCCCCCTCCTCAGGCTCAGCACAAGCTTGTCTGGATGGCCTTTGTCACCCAAATACAAAGTCTGGCCCAGGACCCTCCTCAAGCCCCGACTCCCAATCCTTTGACCTCAGCTCAAGTGACAAGAAATGGCCAATAGTATAGGTGGGGTTGGGTGCACAGGGACATTTGCTTTTCTGGCCCATGCTGTAACATTGCTGGCATTTTAAAGATCTCCGGGCTTTGATTAAAAAATGGTAGGATGCCGGGGACCCCAGTCAGCTTTCTGGAAACCTGCCTCTGGGCCTTGCAGCCCTCCCATCCCACCAGCGCTGCTCAGAATCCCTCCAGGTCACAGACCCACAGTCTTGGCTCCTCAGATGGCCCAGACGATGCACCTTCAAAAAGCGATCCCGGTGGGGCAGCAGGACACACTGCAGATTCCAGCAAATCCGCCTCCCAGAAACTGAGGGTACTGCTGGACGAGCTGTCTGAAAACAGCCATGTCAGGGTTCCAGGAAGATACCAGAGGCACAGGAGTAACAGGAGCATCTGAAGGTCAGGTAGGGGCAGTCAGAGCTTCCAGACCCTTCTTCCCTAAAGCTCCTCATTCCTCAGCCTTTCTTCCAGGCATACTGCTTGGTTTCTATTTGCCCCAACTGTTATCCATTGCCTTAGGCAGCAGAGACTCACGTATGCCTTTAAATGTTTTGGACATTGAATGTCCTCCAGTAGCCACTTCACTACTGGGAAAGTTGGTAGCAAGCAAGAAGTCCCAGAGGACTCCAAGGGTCTGGACTTGGTGTTTCCCTCTCCTGAGATGGGGACACCTGCGGGAGGTGCAGGTGGTCAGCTGAGGGAGGGGGGCAGGCACCTGACGTGGACAGATGGGGCATAGGTGAGGCCCGAGGCCCCCGGGGTATGTGCCTGGCATCCGGACTGAACAGGTCTTCAGAGCTGCAGACTGGCTGGGATCATCTTCAGGCTGAGGAGGAAGGTGAGGGGAGCAGAGGGGACTGAGGAGGTTCGGCTCAGACAGGAGAGGGCTGAGCCACACTTTTGGGGGGAAAGTGGGTCAGGTTCAGGCTCACAGGGACAGACCTTGAGGCCATTATGCCATGTGAAATAAGCCAGTCCCTAAAGGACCGACACCAGAGGATCCCACTTGTGAGGGATGGAGAGCACTCCCATTCACAGAGGCGGAAGGAGCTGCTGGGTGCCGGGGCTGGGGAAGGGGAATGGGGGGTTAGGGTCTCGTGGGTAGAGGTTCAGTTGGGGATGATGAAAACATTGTGGCGATGGACGGAGGTAGCCGGTGCAGAACAGGGAATATACTTATTGCCACTGAAACGCCCTTCATGGTATCAACTGTATGTCCATTATACCACAATACAAAAGAAGTGAGTCAGGACGTCGGGGCCGTCACAAATCCCTGGAGGGCCCAGGAGCAGGGAGCCTGGATCTTAGTTCTCGCTCTCACGCTCTGCCCCTTGTTGGGTGACTGAGCTCAGTAAGTGCTTGCTAAGACACGGTGCAGGCAGCTGGTCCAGAGAAAGTGCACAAGTGCAAACCCACTGGTGGGCACTGAGGAATCCCAAGGGGACGCACATCCAGACAGAGCGAGTGCCCACATTTCACAAACACCAGCATAGAAATAGCCATTTATTTTTTTTAAAGATTTTATTTATTTATTTGAGAGAGAGGGAATGAGAGACAGAGAGCACGAGAGGGAAGAGGGTCAGAGGTAGAAGCAGACTCCCTGCTGAGCAGGGAGCCCGATGTGGGACTCGATCCTGGGACTCCAGGATCATGACCTGAGCTGAAGGCCATCGCTTAACCAACTGAGCCACCCAGGCGCCCAGAAATAGCCATTTAAAACCAAGGCAGGAACCTTATATAGCCCAGAGGGCTCCACGCTCCTGGAGGCCGAGCTAGTGGCCACGGCCAAGGCCTCTGGTGGTGAGGGCACTGGGGGGTCTGAGAGGTGGCTCGGCGCACCCTGACCCTGAAGCCCCATGGCTGCGGTGAGGTGTAAGGACTGGGAGGGAAGACCCGGCCAGCACCTGTTCTGGCTCCATGGCTGCTACAGGGCTGCTCCCAGCCCCAACAGGCAATGTCTGTTTAGAACCAGAGAGAAAACCTTTTCCCTCAATTGTTCTTTTTAAAGATGGTTGCTCAGCATTGACACAGAAAAACCTCTGACATAAAACTGGAGCCGTTCACAGCTGCAAATGACCCCGAAATGATCAAAATGTAGTGACCACAAAGAGAGGAACGTGTGCCCCCAGGCAGACCTCCTGTGCACAGGGGTGCCTGGGGCGTTGGCGTGCCCATGCAAGCAGTGCTGGGCTCCACGGTTTCCCTCAAGGGGACAGAAGTAGGAATCTGCTCTGACAGCTCCGCTCAAGGCAGCACCCCCTGATGGAGACGGGGGCAGCCCCTCGTGACTTCCAGATGTCCTGGTGACTCTTGGGCACAGCCACAAATCTCAGCTTCTTCATGACCCAGGGAATGATGGGGGGCCAGCCCAGCAGCCTCGGGTCCCACAGATCCTCCAGGGGACAGCCCAGCAGCCTCGAGTCAGGTCCTCGAGGGGAGGGTCCTGCATGGCTGCGGGTCCTGCATGGCCTCTGGGGGCAGCCCCTCATGAGTTCTGTGTGTCCTGGTGATTCTTGGGCTTGGCCCGAATCTCGGCTTCTTCATGACAGGGGCCAGCCCAGCAGCCGCGGGTCCCACAGGTCCTTCAGGGGACAGCCCAATACCATGGGTCCCACAGCTCCGCCGGGGACAGCACCTTGGTGGGCCTGTGGCCCAGCAGGTACCTGTTCAAGTGGCTCTTAACGGGCCACATGGCCTCAATCCCACTGGCCCAGTTGACCACCATCGCCTGGTGACAGGCCGAGGTCAGTCGGGGAAACTCCACCACCAATTCCCCAAAAAAGGCCCCCATGTAGTAAAAGTTGCCCTGGTCCCTGGGGATGTGGGTCTGGGACTCTGGCCAGTGCGCGTAGCTGAAGTCCTCGTGGGCTGCCCAGTAGAAACCGAGCTGTGGGGTGCCAAAGAGGGGAGACAGGATCTCCATGCCCACATGGTCCCAGAACTTCATTCCCACATCCACGTCCACGCACACCTGGTCTTCCACGTCACAGAAGAAGCGCTGCTCACAGAAGCGGCTGATCATCGCTATGTGCCACATGGACACATCCTGCCAGAGCAGGACGCCACAGACCTCGACGACCACCACCCTCCGGCCCTCCCAGAGTGGCACACGGGGCCCGGCAGCCAGCTGGTCGGTGAAGACGTAGTATGTGACGCTGTGTCCACCATGAGGACCACCACCCTCCGGCCCACCCGGAGGGGCACACGGGGCCCGGCAGCCAGCTGATTGGTGAAAACCTAGTAGGTGACCCCGTGCCCCACCATGAAGTGCTTCTCTGCTGTCTGCAGGAACAGCTCCAGGAAGACCACGTATCCACAGGGGCAGTGGACAGGGCAGGAAGAGGGTCACTGCCAGAGGCTGGCAGCAGGACCCGAGATGGGGGCCATGGACATGTGCACCTTCTTCAAGGGGGCAGACCCTGGGCTGCTTTAAGCAACAGCCACCTCCTGACCTTCTTGAGGGAATCTGCCAGCAAGACCTCCCTAATGTCTGCTCCCAGAGATGGGGGCCATCAGCACCCCATCTTCCAAAGGGGAGCCTGAGGCTTTGGAGGCTGGAAACCCATGCAGCCCCACAGTCAGCATGCTGGAGCCAGGAACACTCGCCCTGTGCTGAGCTCCTGGGCAAACCCTGCAGGTGCCCTCCACTGGCCGCCTCCCCTGCAGATCCCGTCCCCACCTTCCAGGAAGGAAGCACCTTTGGGCACAGCCCTCATTTCTATGTCTTACAGACTGGGTAGAATCAGCAGGGCCGGCCACCTGTCCCACTTTGCTTTGAGTGGGCTGCCGCTGGCCCCCGCAGACCTGTCTCCACTTCCTGTAGGGTCCTCCCTGGAAGGCTACTGGGCATCCTGCTGACAAGGTGCTCAGTAAGCCACTGGTATTCCTAGGAGGGGCCACCCTCAAACTCTGCCAAATCAGGAATCAGGTCCAGCCCGTGGACAGGGAAAGCAAAAGACGACACCAGGAAGAAGAGGAGGCTTACTTAGGCCCCAGGCTTGAATCCAAGGGTGTAAGCTTCCAGGTCCATGTCTACATCTCCCTGGCCCCAAAAGGTTGGAAGTCTTGCCCAGCCACGTCCCATGGCTGGTCCCCCTTTAAGGGTACTACCTGCTCCCCCCTGTGAGGACAGCAACTCCCCCATTGTCAGCAAGTGTGGTGAGCCCCTCTGAGACTGATTTTTTTGTGCAGACGCTAAGGCTACTTCCCTGGGCCTGCCCCATACCCGGCAGGTTAGTAAATTGCTCACACATGGAAGGCGCGCACTACATTTAAATAGGGGATAAGCACACTCAACATGAGTCAGGTCACCAGAGGGTGAGTCCAGACCCAGCCAATGGGGGAACAAGCCAGATATGAAGCAGGGGATAGAAGAGTGATCCTGGCAGAGGGCACAGCAAAAGCAAAGGCTTGTAGTCAGGCCCAGGGCAGATGTGGGACGACCACACACTTGGGTGGCCCACAGAATGGGGGGCCGTGGTGGAAGAGGTGAGGCTGGAGAGGGCGGGCAGGAGGGGAGCAGACCACAGAGAGGCCCAAAGGTTATGTGCCTGAAAATATCACTCTAGTTACCAGGGGAGAATGGGTTCTGTGCAGCAGAGGACAGGGAGACCCTAACCCTAACCCTAATCCCTAACTCCTAACCCTAGCCCTAACCACTATTACCAACCCCACAAAATCAGCAAAATACATTCCTGTACCTTTCTTAAAATAGATGTAAGAAGCCAGATCAGAAGAATTGCAAAACCAAGAGCTCATAAATAGACTGTGCACCCTAAGCAAGTGGCTCTGCACAAACACCTCAAAGTTATTCAATAGAGTGAAACAAGCAATGTTATACAGCACAATGAATTCTTAAATAAAAACAAGTGGTCATATTAATTGATGCAGAAAATGTTCTAACCAAAGTCCAATGTCTGTTGCTGATATAAATACTCATGAAAGTAGGAATAAGGCGTAATTTTCTCATTAAATCTCCAACAAACACCATGCTTAAGTCTGAAGATGGACAGCTCTACTCTGAAATCAGGAACAAGGGCAGGATGCTGGTTTTCACCTGTTGCTCAATATTGTACTGAAAGTTCTACCCAGAAGGATAAGCCAAGAAAGAAGGCATCCACATGTGAAAGGAAACACTAGAACTCTGTCTATTCAGAGATCAGGGAAGACATCATCTTATATAGAGCTTCCTAAAGAATCAACAAAAAATGATTACAGCCAGTTACCTAATTCAGCACAGTTACAGGACAAAATATCAATACACAAAAATCTCTCTTATTTGTATACACTAGCAATGAATCATCCAAAAAGGAATTTAAGAAAACAATTCCATTTTAGTGAACATCAATATTAACCAAATATTTAGGAATAAATGTAATCAAGGTGCACATCTTGTACACTGAAAGTTACAAACATTGCTGAAAGAAAGTAAGGGAAACCTAAATAATTCTGAAGACACCCCATGTTGATGAAAAGACATGCTATTGATAAGATGGCAGTAGAACACAAGGCGATGTGGAAATTCACTGTGTTCCCAAGAAAATTCACAAAGGCCTTTGGGAAGAAATGCACAAGCTAATCCTAAGAGTCATATGGAATTTCAAGGGACCACAAGAGAGCCAGAACAATCTTGAAAAAGAAAATCAAAGGTGAAAGGTCATACTTCCAAAATTCAAATCTAATAGGTCACAATACGTTTTAGGATTAAAGTTAGGGGTTAAGGTTATGTTTAGGGATTACATGCTCTTCAGTTGTCATCATGGACACAAAATTTCTATCTGAAGTTTCTAAATCTGAAATCCATTTAGTCTGGGTGTCAGGAGCTTGTTCAGAATCTAAGGTCACAGTAACTGCCTACCGACAGCATTCTGATCCTAGAGTCTCCCAGTCACCCAGAAGCTGCTTGTTTTCTTGACTCAAACATACCCTTTGCAGAGAAGGGCCAGTAGGTGCCAAATTTGGACTAGGATTAGGGTTAGAGGTGTGATACCAAATATTGTGGAAATGTTCATGGAAAATGAAACAGGAGACAAATAATTTGTCGACTCCTGATTCTTCCACAATAACAAAGACCAAGTTCCCAATAGAGTCTGATAATGTTCCCTAGGAAGGACTACAGTACTCATTACCAGTACCAAAAGGGGGCCCCCTCCCCTGGTTTACACTAAGAATCACAGGAGGATACTTCCTATTTTGTTGTCAAAAATAAAATTTTATTAATAATTATTTGGATGTGCCAGTGTACATTTGTGGAGGCATTGCCAACATTTTCCATACCCAAATCCTCATCAACATACGGATAAAATGCAGGCAACACTGTAATGCACTGCTCATTGGGGTACCAAGTACAAAGAGGGCTATTAGAAGTAATAAAAATATATCTACTATTAAACTCAGAAAAAGCACTCTTTACGGGCACTTAATGAGGGTCCCTAGCCATAAGATCTCACATCTCATCCTATGGAATCCACCCATAAAAAATCATCAGTAACAATAGCCCGCGAACCACTGTAACCACCCCACCAGTTACCTATAGGCTTGTGATACACACTCCAACTGCTAGAGACACACTTCTCAGCAGCAGAACAGGACCTGCCCACTCCCGGGGGACCAACAGTTACAGTGACGTAAAAAAATCCCACTCCTTGGAAATCCCAGCCATTAAGACAAAGGCACAGAAACCACACCCACAACTTAATAAAGGACAGGCATCTCGTTGGCCGGATGCTGCAGATCACCACCCCTCTCACGAAGTCACTCCACAGCGGACTCCAGATCTGTGCTCTCCCCAGGATTGCAAGGTGTGCCACATTCTTCCAATACTCCATCCTCAGAACAAAACCTTTAGCTGTCCTCGTCAGTCCTGTGTGCAGGCTCACAGTGAGCCCTGCGACAGCCAGACACCTTCTTGAGAGCACTCAGCCTCTCACGCCTATCCTAGCAGATGGAGGGTGCTGTTCTCCCCGACTTCTGTACCAACTAGAAAATACTTGGAACAAGTCTTGCCATACTCCATGCAAAAGGCATGTTCTTCATCTGCAAAATTATTGATGGTGAAACACCAGAGATTCCTCGCACCTTCTTGAACCTGGGTAAATTGTAGATACAGGTTGGCCAGAGCTATTATCCCCAATCCCCATACCCCCCCCACACACCCCTACCTTGTGCATTCCCGACCAGTTTCCATCAACGTTGCTCATTCTCAGCCATTGTCTCTGCAGAAGAGTAGAGTAGTACCGAGGTGCCGGGACTGAGGTGCTAGGTACGAAGCCAGCACCTTGGACCCACTCGCTACAGAAATCAATGCTCGCTTTATCCACAGATGCAGCACAGAAGATGTTGCCACCATGGCAATTAGAAAAGTCATTACAACAGAGGACCTAACAACCTGTACCAATCTCCACGGCCCCACTACCTGGCTCCAGGGATTGGCTCATCCATGGGCATGTGACCTGGTCCCAGCCAGTGAAGTGGCAGGAAACTCAGGTCTCGGCCTGCAGAGCAAAGCATGGGGTGGACCGCCCAGTATAGGGGCTTTTCCATCACGACTGCAGAAGTGGCCTAGGCCAGGCCAGTGGCAGCACCACAGAGGGCCCAGGGAGCCAGGGGCTCGAAAACATTGCTGAGGGCTGAATCAAACTCGTCCTGAAGCCCACACGTGCTAGGTCCTCCACTGACTCATGAAAACCGTAAACATGTTCATGATCTTGGCCTGAACAAGATGACCGTCTGCGTGTTATATACCCCGCAAGATATACCCACTAGGCAATGGGTACATATTCAGCCAAACAATACCTACGTGTACTTCAACCACAGACAAATATCTTGTGGGAAGCTAGAGGCATACAGAGAAATGCGGGGGAATTCCTGAGGCCTTAATTGTTAGTCAGTCTTGCTATCATCTTTCCTTTCAAGTTTAAGGGCTGGGGTCAGGCAGGATAGATCCCCGTGTATGCCCACGCTGCCATTTGAAAATAAGAGCCCTCTCCGCCATCGTCCATCAGGTTGCGAACCTGGGGTGTGGGAAACTGCCATCCATGGGCCAAATGTGGCCTCCCCCTGTATTCTGTAAATAAAGTGCAGCTGGAACATTAGTTATGGATGGTCTGTGGCTACTTTCAAGCCCCAATGCAAGAGTGGAGTCACTGTCAGTGAGACCATGTGGACTGCAACATCTAACAGAAAATCCTTACAGAAGATTTTACAGAAAATTCTGTGCCGATCCCTGTTCTAAAACGTAATATTATCATGTCACTCCTTTGAGCAGAACGTAGTGCTTTCTGGGGAAAAACTAATTTCTTTACCCGCGTAGGCAAGGACTTCCATCATTTTAGCCAGAACTCCATATCCATCCTCCTCTATTTCTACCTTTAATGGCACATGTACATACCTGCAGCCCAATGGGAATTCACTGTAGTTTACATGGTAGTGATGCTCAGAAACGGAGGTGCAAGTGTGAACGTGTGAGTGTGAGCGTGTGTTGACTCTTTGTTAGCCACGGTATGCAAGTAGAACACAATACAGTAGCATGCTTTCTGTCTCACAGGGACGGCCACGTTATGTGGTTACATAATGATATCAGAAAGAATCCACCTTCATAGAACAAACTTCATCTAGGAAGACTCTCAAATCCCTTGTCCTGGGCACTATGCTCCACCGAGGCTGGGGGCACACAGAGGGACAGAGACTCACCCTGCGCATCAGGGTTTTGTTGGGTACCTGCTATCCCAGGGGAAAAGATCCCGATACCATTCATCTACCTGTCATCCAGCCAGGCAGCTGTGAGAGAGACCTACTCCTACAGGAAGGACAGACCGGGAAACAACACATGACAGCATGCTGCGACAAGTGCCACTGCAGGGGACGCTCAGGAGGACTGGG